TGGCATGCTGAGGATACACAGAGCAACAAAATGAGGTCTTTTTCCCTCAACAACCTTCCTGCTGCTGCCCAGTGTTTTGTTGGCTTATTTTGGCTGCAGGTGCATGCTGGGCCAATGATCTCAGTCAACTGTTAACAGCGACTTCAGGATCTCTTTCTTGGGCCATGACAGCCAGTTCAGTGTCAGCATCAAAGAGCTTTGGTTTGGATTGTTTTCCTCCAAGTGCGTTACCACTTAGAGGTTTATCCACCCTAAAGCTCCTATGCCAATATTGTGCCTTTTGTTCAGTTTTTTGAGATCCTGCAGGACTTCATTGTCTTTGGCATGGTATTTGACTGCCCTAAGGAGGTCAGGAATATCCACAGACCTCGAGACTTTGTGCACACTCCCTTCTGCGGGTTTTACATGAAGATGTTGAATAAAAGCAGTCTCAGCAAACATCCACTGCAGCGTCCTCTACCACAAAAGCCCTTCCATTTGCTTTACATCCCCTAACCTCCTCTCTTTTCAAAAATGAACCTTTCCTCCAAATACTCTGCTTAGTTCCTTCAAGAAAATAAAGAAAAAAAAATTAAACCCAAGAAAATAAAATCCAAGGATTCTGAGGAAGAAAAGAACTATTGAAATGAGCTTCTCACTTTTATAGTCCTTTTATCTTTCTAATTCAAAACAGACATCCCAAAATTTACAGCTGCGATTCTGATTGCAGAAAAGGTGATCCAGAAATTACACAACTGCCATGAGTTAAACTCACAGTAATTTTTAAAATGTACTATATTATTCCCAGAGAATGTAGGTTGGCTTTTGACAGCATCCTTTTGTTTCCATTCTGGAAAACCCCAGATGTACCAGTTGCCAGGGAGGACAGTAGTGTCAAAGAGTTTGCATCAGTTTGCCAAGTAAAATATTAATCATTGTGGGACCTGATGCTTAAGTGACGAGGCCATAACTAGGAAAGAAAGCAGGACAGCAACATTGAGTTTTACAGCCACAGAAGACAAGGGTAAGTTTAGATTTTCCTTTACTGAACAAGCACAAAACAGCACAGAACTTCTGTGAGTTTACCAAAGGATTAAAAGCCCTGAGCGATTTTAAGAGGGCAACACTTCTGCTGTGAAAGGGCCAAGAAAAAAACCTGCAACGCAGCTACAACTTCCACTGTGCTGTGACAGTGTCTGCCTTGTGTGGGATGAGTGGGACAGGCCCTCCTGCCTGCTGGAGCCCCACTGCAAATGCTCTCGCCTGTCCAGCTGTTTTTGCTGATGGACATTTGTTCTCAGGTCCACATGTATGGTCCAAGGCCAGCTCTGTTACAATCTGATGGGCCAGCAGAAGCTACACAGCCGTGGCCGCCCACTGCAGGAAGTGGCTTTGTGGGGGCAGCAGGGTCGACACCTCTCGCACAGACCTTGCACAGAAAACAGGGCAGAAAAGCAGTATTTTTGGTGAGCTGGGGATGAATTGGCTGTGAACTGTGCGAAGGGACAGTGAGAAATCCAGCAGTGCTTGCTGTCAGCATACCTCTGGACTACCAATATTTTGGCCAAGACCCAGCCCCACTATTTTGTTTACCTAATGTCCTCCTGCACTGCCACTGAATTATGAGCTTATTTCCTGTACTAAACGACTGTGCATCTTGCAGTTAGTTATTAACTAGCTGCTGTGTTTGAAAAAGGGCTTTATTTCAGCAGAAAGTGATTCTTTTGTAATCCTCAGTCAGTTCAGGGGAGCTGTGCAACCTGCCAGTGAGACATCCTCTGGCACGCCTGGTATTTTTTAGGCATTGTTAATCTGTACGTTTTCATCAGACTGACTGAGGCAACATTGGTTTCCAGCAACAGTGAGAAAGAGTAATCCAGAATTAAACGCAATTTTGCCAAATGCATTTGGGGGGGAGGGACTTGGAGGTGTTTCCCAATCAAATGCCCCTCCTTTAGGAGCTGTTTGCAGCCTCTCCTGCTTTCCCCTGGAGTGCAGTTGCACAGCCATGAGAAGTTTCTTTGGGAATCCTGCTGGTAGGTTCAGCTTTCAGTGCAAACTCTTACGGTATCACACTCAGTGGGGAAATGAATTATTTGCCTTTTCTGGTATTCTCTCTGTTTCATGTAGGAGAAGTTCCCAGATAAGATTAGTGAACTCCATGTGCTGAACTGTGAGGGTGGAATGAGTGAGCATAGTCTCGCGTCACTTGATTTCTATATGCATGAGTCTGACTAAAGCAAATATCAGGGGAAAGGAAAGAGTTAGTGTTTGCTTATTCCAATTACTCATGCTTTATTATTTCTTTTAATCCTCTCCAGGCCTACTTCTGTTAGCTGCAAGGATATCTACCAGCTATCTGTTGAGGACTAGGCGCTTGAATAGTCTTTAAATTCCAGTTTTATTGCCTTTTAATTCTGTTCTTTATTCCATTAGGATTTTGAGTTCAGGTAGATTGCAGTTTTAGAGGGGCGAGTTTGAAATGCCATCTCTCTTTTTCTCTCTGAGTTTAGACCCAGATCAGCTGAAGTATCTTGCATCTCTGCAGGGGGAAATATCTTTCTGTAAGGCTCAGGTTGGCATCCAAACCTTGCAGCAGCTGTTGCCACCGAGACCAGGAGCCTTTTCTCTGCCAAATGCATGCTACTTGTGGGTTTTTGTCACCATACTCCTCAGTAATTCTTGTGCAAGGGTTGGCCAGCTGTGGTATTTCTCTCGGGTGCCAGCAATCCCCTGGGAAAATTCAGCGTTGGGGATCTGAAGATAGGAGCTTACTCTTGCAGCCCTCTGACTCCTAATCTTTAGAGCTGGACAGTAATGACTGACCAGAAGGGGATATTCATGAGGGAAAAGCATTTCCTGATCGGCCTTGTTACTTCAGAAAGGATCTTGCTGAGTTGTTACCCGTTTCCCCCATCTTACCTAATTAAGAGTGTAAACCAAACTGTTTCATGAGCAATGAACTAATATATTTTGATAGATTTATATATTTTGCTCCTTCCTCTCACTCTTCAATACTCTAATTTCTCTTGTGACCTTCCTGCTCCTGTGATACTTTAATTTCCCCACTAAATCCCTCAAATTGCCATCCACTTCTCCAAACCATGTGCCACGTCTCCCAACTATAGGGAAGAGGTGGTAAGTAATAGCTGAGCTCACCACATCATCGTTTCTCTGGTGTCAGCACCAATTCCTGAATATGCATCAGCCCATTTTATAAAACCTGGGCAAACAATATATATCCGCTGAAATTCATTTTCCTGTCTCTGGTCTTGTTTTCCTGTCCTGTGTTGTACTAATGCTAAACACAACTTGATACTGGCAGATACCACAGCAAAAGTGCAGATCTAATATTCACAGAGGTCTCCTAATTTTATAAAGGAATGAAAAAGAAAAGGCAGTAATTACAGGCTGATAAATAAAGCTGATATGTGCCATAGTGAAATGTTAATAAAACCTCCCTGGCCAGGCAGTGGGCTTTGGAGTCCTGAGAGCGAATGCAGGGCCATGCACACCTTCCTCTGCCCAAGGGGAGGTAAAATTCAGATTAGATATTAATCCCTTATCCGGTTTTGATCTGGCCTTGGGCCAAGTGCGCTAACCTTCTAATCCAAGACCAGCACCTACGCTGGTAAGGCGTGGTAAGGCTCTGGTTCAGGTTCCCTCCTCGCTGTAAATATTTATACAGTTCACATGCTTCGGTTGGCTCTCACTTGCAGTCCCTCCGAATCTACTGGAGAGAAATTAAACCTCGGGGTGACGGCGAATTGCTAAAAAAATGAGGATGATTTTGGGGGGGGGGGGGGGGGTTTCAGGTTACCGAGAACCGTCGGGGGAAAGGACTCCTGCCCACCACCGCACGGCTCCGGCCGCTCTCCCGAGGGAGCGAACGCTGCCGGCCCGGCCGGGGGTGCCCGCGGGGTTGGCGTTCCCGGCCGCTCTGCGGGTCGGGGCCGGCTCCTGCTGCCTCCGCCGCTGAACCGGCGCTGCTCGGCTCGGCCTCCCCCCGGAGCCGCGTCCGCTCGGCGCCGCCACTGTCACCACAACGGCGGCAGAGCCCTCGCTGCGCCGCGGGCCGGGCCGGGCCGGGCCTGCCGGCGGAGGCGGAGCCCCGCCCGGGGCGGGGCGGCGGCGGT